TAGGTATTCTAGCCAACTGTTACAGCCCGACCCTATGACAGTCGCTGCAGCCCGGACCTATGACAGTCGCGACAGCCCGGACCTATGACAGTCGCGGCAGCCCAGACCTATGACAGTCGCGGCAGCCCGGACCTATGACAGTCGCGGCAGCCCGGACTTGTTTCTTTGTCACGACTCGCGTCCGCCTCCAATCTTAGCTCTCGACTGCCTTGATTACCACCTCCAGTATCCCGTACCGGTCGCAGATCTCGTGTTCTCTCTTTATCCCAAGAATCCCTGTCTCTTAGTAACCTCTCTTTCGGGATCAGTCAACAAGGCCGTGCCTGTCCGGATCCACAGTACGCCCGTGGCAGGACCTCTATCCTAGCCAACGTCTCTTGATCAACACTCCTCAAGAGTTTTCGAGCGTCTCTCTCCGTCCTCCTTGCTAGTTCTCCTAGCCCTGTCCTGAATCGGTTAACCCACTAAAGACCCTCCTACTGCCGTTCAATGACGCCCATCGACCTTTCTAGCTTCCTCTATTCTTCCAAGAGCTTCCAATTTCTATTTTCACTACCTTATGTCCTCAACAGTTACGAGGTCATCTGTCTAACAGCTGAGGTAAGTTAGTGCTATAACGACTTGTAACCGCATCACCGACCGCTCCAATATGTCATAAAATGTCTATAAGTCCTCACTATCTCCTCCTTCGTCTATCGCCTCGAAAGTTTTCATTGTTTCCTTCCAGTACCGGTTGTGAGCGGCTAACACCCTGAGTATTGCACCATCTGTTACAACTCTCCCTAACTCTCCAGCTTTCCTGGCCTCGCTTATCTTCAACCTCTCAGCCTCTCGGGTCGTCTCGTACCATGCCCTTATCCGAGACCGCCCTTCGAAAGGTGTCACTTGGAGTACGTATTTTATCCTCCGTCCTCCTTCTATTCCAATCCAAAGTCCTGTTCCCCTAGCCTCACGCAGCGCGCGGCGGACACACTCTGCCTCCTCAACTATGCACAGTCTGGTATGGAGCTGGAGTTCTATGATCACTAACACTTGGTCCGTCTAATCTCCCTACCACATGCAATGAGTACCGATCCGTCGTGTGTACTCCTGTCCCACTCATGTCCTGTCGCTACTTCCCTGCGTTACTTTGTCTTCCGTTGTCTCGCTCTCTGTAGATCGCTCACTAGTTTCTTCGCGTGATACGCTTCTAGCCTTTACCCTCTCCAAAAAATTTGATCTCCACACCTGGATAATCTCTCTTTCCTCCCTAAACGGACTCTCTAACTCTCTCGTCACGAGTTCAGCCCTACGCAACTGGCCCTCGTCTTGACACGACCAGATCTCCCTTAACTTGTCCCCCAACTTCTTTACCTGGTTCAAGAGTGGTTCTTTWACGCGCTTTCTCACTCTTCCGACTGCCTCACTCTCCTCTTCCATACTCAGTCCACATCTTTCTCCAGCTCACCCTCTCACCCTCGCTCTAGCCTCCGCTACCGTCTCATCGTGGTAGTGCTCCGCGCGCACATAACCATGAGACCGTATCATCACATCATAGGATATCGAGGTTTGGAAGGTCACTCGTGCCACTACATCAGCTCTACGCTCGTGGATCAAATCCCTAGCTCGTTGTCTGCACTCACTCGCCGTCAAGTCCTCGTCTA